CATTTCTGTTGAGGATTGGCAGCGGGGGTGGGGTGGGGGGGTGTTTGGTTTTTATTCCCCCCATCTGCTGGGTGGCTGCAGCAGGTTTTGGTTACTTCACATGACTCTCGGACACTGTGACCGTCATATGCCAAGCATCTGAATGTAAACCATAAGACCCTAGAGATTCTGCAACATTCCAGCTGATCGGCGCTTCTTCTGGGCTCAGCAGAAGCGCCAGGATCAGCGGTGAGCTCCAGCTGGAGCCTGGCGCTGATCCTGGCGCTTCCACTGAGCCCTGATAGCCCCGAAGAAGCGCTGATCCTGGCGCTTCCGCTGAGCCCTGACAGCCCTGGAGCTCCAGCCATCTCTCGCTCAGGCTTGTGCAGTGCTGCAACCAGTTCAGCTCATTCCCCCCCCCCCCCGCTACCACTTTTCTAGGATGGTCGCATACCACCTGCCAGGTGCCAATGTACCACAAGTGGTACCCATACCACTGGTTGAAAAGCCTTGTTCTAAGTAATTTCTGATACTAGTCACCACCTTTTTCTACACCTGCTTTCCATGGGCAGCTCCTGTTGGCAAGAGAACACAGTGCAACGTATTTGAACACTGGGAAAATAAGATGATGTTTTGAAGAAGACTAAAGATCCAGGAGCCGAACAAAAGCTATTGCTTTAAGTGACTGCCCTGTTTTTCTGTCCAAACTACAAATTAGGAATCTGAACTATAATGAGAAGGATGTGAGAGTGAATGGGGGACTCCATAGCTTTTCAAGGATAAATAACAGTTCTCCGGCTGTTTGCCAAAGTTAATGATTTCACTGGGACAAACCTATTCTTCCTCTTCCTTGGTTAAAATGGAAACCATCACCATGATTTGACTACATGTTTTCATTAGTACTTTGTTATAGCCTTCCAACAGGTTATTATCAGGTTCCCTGTTCCTCTAAAGGAAAGAGAATAAGTCTGTTGCGCAGGATGAAAAGCACGGAAATAGAGAACTAGTTGGAAATGTATTCTGACAAGAGACAAAGGAATCTCAATAAATACATTTTACCAGTTCTTCTGATTCAGAAGCTATTGGTCCAAGAATTAGGAAGCTGGTAACTTAGATCAAGGCTTTTCAACCAGTGGTACGGGTACCACCTGTGGTACATTGGCACCTGGCAGGTGGTACGCGACCATCCTAGAAAAGTGGTAGCAGGGGAGGGGAATGAGCTGAACCGGTGGCAGCACCGCACAAGCCTGAGCGAGAGATGGCTGGAGCTGCAGGGTTATCAGGGCTCAGCGGAAGCGCCAGGATCAGCGCCAGGATCCAGCTGGAGCTCAGCGCTGATCCTGGCGCTTCTGCTGAGCCCAGAAGAAGCGCCGATCAGCTGGAATGTTGCAGCATCCCCAGTGTCTTGTGATTTACATTCAGATGCTTGGCAACTGATTCATATTTGACGGTCACAGTGTCCCAGGGTCATGTGAAGTGACCAAAACCTGCTGCAACCACCCAGCAGATGGGGGGAATAAAAACAAAACACCCCCCCACCCCACCCCCGCTGCCAATCCTCAACAGAAATGCTCACAACAATGGAAACCTCGGACAGGAGGAAGAGCGCCGCCAGGCAGGCAGGCAGGTGTCTTGCTTGGCTGTGCCTTGGGGGACACTTTTTTCAGTGCCATTGTAACTTCGAACAGTCACTAAGCGAACTGTTGTAAATCGAGAACTACCTGTACTTCATCAGTTTTTTCCTTTTGGGGGGGGGGGGTCATCAAGTTTTTGACACCTTGCTAGGCGACTGGCGGTACTCGGATACTGCCATATCCTAAAAGTGGTACAATGGGTGAAAAGGTTGAAAAGCCCTGATTTAGATGCCTGCTTAAAAGCATTTTGATCTGAATGCAGTCTTTAATTTTTCAGGGACAAGAACTGGAAAATGGAAACAAAGAATAATCTAAGAGTTCTGGGAAAGCAAGTCATATCAAACAGCAAGTCTCTGTTAAAAAGAATTGCACTAAATATCCATAGTTCTGAGCCCCAAAGTTGGTTCACTAAAGCAAGCCTTTACAATGTAGAATCCTTGGATAGGAATAACGTTTAACAGACATAACAAATCTGACAGACTGTCCAGCTTGCAAAGCTGTACATGTCAGCAACATATTTGCAAAATTACAGATAATAGGGAATTCTTTTCTAGCCTTCCACGTTCTTGTGCAACTGCACATTTTATTTGGAAAGGAATTTGAGGTGACTTATAAAATAATGCAGTTAAGATTGGAGTAGGCAATTTGTAGTCCTCATGTAGTCTAATTCCAAAATTCTTTGGTAAGAAGTAAGTTCTAATTTCTAATAAGTGTTTTCTATGGTCTGCTATCTGTTGAAGTGAGGACAAAAATGGGCAAAGACAACGGTTTGTATTACCACACTTTGCTTCAGCTCCATGTACTGAACAGCTACCAACAACTCCTTAGCGCAGGGGTAGGCAACCTTGGCTCTTTTATGACTCGTGGACTTCAACTCCCAGAATTCCTGAGCCATCTTAGGGTATTTTTTTTCTTTCGCAGAAGAGATAGAGACAGGCAAGCTGGGAAATTATCCTCAATCCTACTGGCGGGTCAAACATTGGTAAGTACATTTGTATGTTACATTTCCCAGAACTCTGACAACTGTCTGCCCTGTATGCCAGAGACGACAGAAGGACAGGGAGGCAAAGTATCAGAGAGTTGAAAGGGGCATTCAAGATCTTCTAGTCCAGTGGTTCTCAACCTTTTTAATGCTGCGACCCCAACTGGTCGTAAGTCGAGGACTAAACCGGTCGTAAGTCGAGGACTAAACCGGTCATAAGTCGAGGACTAAACCGGTCATAAGTCAAGGACTACCCAACCGGTCGTAAGTCAAGGACTTTCCCTGCCCGGGAGCGCTGCGCATGCGTGGTTCCGCCCCCTGCGCCGGCCGAGGCGTAGCTGGCAAGCGGCAGAGACGGAGCAGGCCGACCACCAGCTGGCCCAGCCCAAGGGAGGTAAGGCACCCGCCGGAAAATGGGGGAAAAATGGCGGACAAAAAAAATGGCGGACAAAGAAAATGGCGGACAGCTTTGCTTGGCGACCCCCATGAAATGGTCGATCGACCCCAAAGGGGGTCCCGACCCACAGGTTGAGAACCACTGTTCTAGTCCAACCTCCTACTCAGAGCAGGAATCCTCATACTATCCCACGCAACTGACTGTGTAACCTTTGTTTGCTCTGTTCTGATGTAGCTGAAATAGCAAGACACAGAACCAGGTTAAGAACATAAAAGGAAGAATCATAGAAAGTCCTTGGTATTTTCTGTTCAAGCTGACCCTGTTTAGCTGCAATCTAGAGGGTAAGCAGCTACGTTCTTTTACAAACACACCAATCTTAAGTTTATGGCGATTCTGCCCCATTTCTAAGTATGTGGAGAATTCTTTTGGACATTTCGAAATTTATTTCTGAACTAGATCCCAATGTGCCCTGTGCAACATTTTTGAAATCTTATTTCAACAGAACGTAGAAAGAAACTATTGCTAAATTAGGTGGGATAAGGAGAGCAAATACACCAAATGCTGATTCTCTGATGTTGGACATTGCAAACAAATTCTTGCAGTAAAAGAGAAATGGAAAACCAGTGGGCAAATAATTAAAATACCATCCTGGAATAATGGCAGTTTTTAGATACTTAAGTTTTTGAAATGCAGAACAGATTCTAGCACAATGGCTGTGGATCTATCAACAGCTCTCAAGCACAACAATAGAGTCAAATCACCACCCAGACAGTAATCTTCCTTTAAAGATCAGACACTGAAAAACAAAAATCATACCACCACCTTATTTCTCTAGTGAGCTTCCATAAAAAATGTTTGTTCTAAGGAAGAGAAGAATGAACTAGAACAGGGGTAGGCAACCTTGACTCTTTTATGACTCGTGGACTTCAACTCCCAGAATTCCTGAGCCAGCCATGCTGAGGGGAAAGGGAGAGGTTTCCAAGCTGAGCCATGCTGGCTCAGGAATTCTGGGAGTTGAAGTCCACCAGTCATAAAAGAGCCAAGGTGGCCTACCCCTGGGCTAAGATCATGGCCACGGACCCCAAAACTTATCTCAAGATTTAAATCACAATATTTCTTCAACCCTTCGCAGACCCTCTGTGATGATGTCGCTCAGCTTGGAAACCTCTCCCTGTCCCCTCAGCATGGCTGGCTCAGGAATTCTGGGAGTTTAAGTCCACGAGTCCTAAAAGAGCCAAGGTTGCCTACCCCTGAACTAGAGGAATGTTTAGTTTGATATAGTAAAGCATTTTTTCTATTATCTAATATACCTTTCATTCTAATGAAAGAACAAGAAAAGGCGAACGAAGTCAGGGACAAGCCAAAGGGACTGTCCAGCAAGATGCACAGAATGTTAAGCAATTATGAGAAGTGACCCAACACTGAAAGAGGATCATTCTGAAGTGGTTTGACCTCAAAACTGGACCCATTTTAAAGTTGGATCCGTTCCAGGAGACTTGGAATAGCCTGGTCTGAGATTGGAAAGGTCCCTTTCAGGGTTAGGACAGAATATTCTGACATGTCTCCCCCCCATGGGACAAGTTGAACTGAGATTCAAGGAGGAACAATGGTGCAGTTCATTTTCTTGGATGAAATTTCTGTCTAGCCCAGGGGTAGGCAACCTCAGCTCTTTTATGACTCGTGGACTTCAACTCCCAGAATTCCTGAGCCAGCAGGGCTCAGCTTGGAAACCTCTCCCTTTTGCCTCAGTATGGCTAGCTCAGGAATTCTGGGAGTTGAAGTCCACGAGTTATAAAAGAGCCAAGGTTGCCTACCCCCGATCTAGCCAGATGACAGACAGAAATGCTTCATACCCAGGTTTTCTGAGGAGTTCCTTCAGCACTAAGTACACAACACACACACCCATTCTAACCAAAAAGGTTGCCGTAGTTCTGGCTCACCACTCTCACGAGAGAAGACTTGGGCAAGTTTCATTTCCTTTGAAGGCCTGTTTTGCAATGACACTTACCAATATTCGGGTGCTTTAATAACCGGCAGATTCGAGCTTCTCGCTCTAGTTTCTGATGATCTGGAAAAAGAAAAGAGGAAAATGTATTAATGACTTCTGCTTTCTGCCTGTGTTCAGAGTTTAAACAAAAATCAGACACCAATTACCAATAACAAAAAGTAGCAGATGCACGACAGTCTCTCCCAGAACCTGCAACCATCCTAAAAAAAAAAAGGCAATCTTTCTATAGAATACTCTATAGGCAAAATATTTCCAAAAGCAAATGATTTATACAATCTTTTTGATTTAAACATGTTCCAGTTTTAGTTTCTTTTTCAGTCTTTAGAGCAGGGGTCCCCAACCCCCGGTCCATGGACCAGTACCGGACCGTGGCATGCCAGCAATCGGGCCGCATAAACAAGCAAAGCTCCATTCACGGGATGCAGGCAGCACACAAAACCACATGCCCTCCGGTCCACGGAAAAACCTTTCTCCACGGAACCGGTCCCTGGTGCCCAAAAGGTTGGGGACCTTTGCTTTTAGACAATATTTCCTGCTTGTTGGCCAGCTTGAATTCTATTAATTCTAGAAGAGAGATTTAAATTCAGGTGGAAAAGAAACGGGGTGGGTGGGGTGACTTCACTTCTAAAGGTTTCTACCCAGGGTTTATTAATTTGCTGGGATTTGAAAATGCTAAGAAAAAAAAAATCAAACAGCTGGGACTTAACTCTCTAAAGGGATGAGAGTCATCTGTAGGCAGATTAGGGAACATTTGCCTTGCTCCCACCATCTACCTTTCCCATGCTCCAGTGCTAAAATACTCCACAGAGTTCGTGTCATCTCCGTTTCATGTCCTTTGTGTGGCAAATGATGGGCAGATGCCAGAGCTTGCCCTTGGAGGCAAAATTATGCTCTTGCGAGATCCATGGACCATATTCTTCTATAGTGTTCTTCTTCAGTAGAGTTCAGGGGTAGACAACCTTGGCTCTTTTATGACTTGTGGACTTCAACTCCCAGAATTCCTGAGCCAGCCATGCTAAGGGGGAAGGGAGAAGTTTCCAAGCTGAGCCATGCTGGCTCAGGAATTCTGGGAGTTGAAGTCCACGAGTCATAAAAGAGCCAAGGTTGCCTACCTCTGGCCTAGGCCTAGGCCGCTTTATGACTCGTGGACTTCAACTCCCAGAATTCCTGAGCCGGCATGGCTCAGCTTGGAAACCTCTCCCTTTTCCCTCAGCGTGGCTGGCTCAGGAATTCTGGGAGTTGAAGTCCACGAGTCATAAAAGAGCCAAGGTTGCCTACCCCTGGTATAGTTATTGTGCCTTCACAACCCAATGTAAAAGTTTGACTTTTGGTAAAGGTTTGACGTCTGTTTTAGTTTCAGATTTAGTATATATGCGGGTCATTTTGTTCTGTAGTCACTAATCTAAATGTGACGCTTTCTACTCCAAAAGCAAATGACCTACCTACAAAAATAGTCCAGCTCAGTTATGGAAACAGCTATTGCCTTCTGCAGCAGTTCACCCTGAACCTGCTATTATGTAATAAGGGAAAAAACATAGCTTATTTTTTAATTCAAATTTAGCTTTGTGCCAACTCATCGCTTTCAGCTTTATGCAGAATCTGCAGTATCCAGATGAAAATAAGTAAAAACCTACCGTGACAACATGCATAACACGCTTGTGGTTTTTAAAGTGTGCTCTCAACAATCCCTTTGGCAACCCTGAGACTGAATAAATTTTACTGGTCGAGCTAGCACTGGAATCTAGATGCACCTCGTTGAAGATACTCATAGAAAAAGTTAGGGGCAATCCCAAATCGATCCAGTTACTGGATTTTACTATGAGGCCTGAAACAGGCTTTGGAAAATTTGGATCAGCCTGAGAAAACAACACAGGAGGAGCCGAACGACACCTTTTCCACCTTCAGGAGTTTGAGCTCACCTCATTAGCTGCCAAAAGTGGCTGGACAGATGAAGTGTTTAAATGGGGAATGAGGAAAGGGAACACAGGTTGGTGGTGGTAATAATAATAATAATAATAATAATAATAATAATAATAATAATAATAATAATAATAATAATAATAATAATAATAATAATAATAATAATAATAATAATAATAATAGGAACTGCTTCCATCCTGCGACGATATCTGTAATACCATCAAACATCCACATCTGCCTATCCCAGGTCCTGGGTAAGGACTCGATACGTAGACAAAATGCCAAATCCAGTCTGAACATCTGACTGACTGTGCGATGATCCATAATAATAATAATAATAATAATAATAATAATAATAATAATAATAATAATAATAATAATAATAATAATAATAATAATAATAATAATAATAATAAAGTTGGAAGGGACCTTGGAGGTAATCAAGTCCAACCCCCTAACTGTCAGGAAATTCCTCCTTAGTTCTAGGTTGCTTCTCTCTTTGGTTAGTTTCCATCCGTTGCTTCTTGTCCTGCCTGCAGGCACCTTGGAAAATAGCTTGACTCCCTCTTCTTTGGGGCAGCCCCTGAGATATTGGAACACTGCTATCATGTCCCCCCTCGTCCTTCTCTTCGTTAAACTAGACATACCCAATTCCAGCAACCGTTCCTTATATGTTTTAGCCTCCAGTCCCCTAATCATCTTTGTTGCTCTTCTCTGTACTCTTTCTAGAGTCTCAACATCTTTTTTAC